CGCCTCCCGCCTGGCGAGCGTCCCCGGGCGGCCCCCGCCGAGCCGCGGCCACCGGGCAGAGGGCCGCCCCGGACCTGAGAACTTACTGGAAAGGCACGGTTTCCCCGGAGGAGGGGGAAGAGGGGGGAGGGACGAGGAGGAGGGGAGAAAGAAAGGGGGGAGAGGGAGGGAGGGGGAAGAGGAGGGAGGACGGGGGAAGAAGAGGGAGGACAGGGGGAAGAGGAGGGAGGACGGGGGAAGAGGCGGGAGGACAGGGGGGAAGAGGAGGGAGGACAGGGGGAAGAGGAGAGGGAAGAGGAAGAAGAAAGGAGGGGGGGTAGGAGAAGGGGGAAGAGATGGGAGGGGGAGGGGGGAGGAAGAGGAAAAACCTGAATGTGGTTTTTTTAAAAAATAATCGGCCGTTAATTATAAGGCCCTCCAAGGCAAGTTACATGAAACAGTTTACAAGTACTTGCTTCTAGTAACTTCCTCGGATAAGGAATCACCTCTGAGTCATTGATAGGATGACTTTACATTAAAAACTGAGTGGTTTTAACTTTGTGGCTGTTCACCAGCTCTTACTAATTCTACTACTGTTGTTTAGTGCAGTCTAGCTCATAGGAATCTTTTGTTTTTTCATGGTAGTTAAAGGAAAGTACCGGTCTGGAACTTTTTGTCCACTCCCCACTTGCAGGGAGGGGAGAGGAGCTGGAGATCCAGTTAATCAATCATGCGTGTGTAATGAAGGCTTTATCAAAATAATAATGGAAGGCTGGAGTTGTGTCTTGGCTTGCAAGCTCAAGGCCCTGAGTTCAAAACCCCAGTACTGTGGATAAGTTGCTGAGCCTATCCATATGCCAAGAAGGTTGTTAACCCCAACTCCATAGGGACAGAAGCTCCCATCCCAAACTTTATCCCATGTACCTCTTCTTCTGCTTATTCATGTATGTCCTTTAAAGTATTCTGTGAATAAATCAGCAACAGGAACGAAGGATTTCTGTGAGCTATTCTAACATTCAAATGTAGGGCTTAACATGTAGGAACTCATCTCCAATAAACTCAGAAAAAAGAAAAAGGAAAAAAAAAAAAAAGTGGTCCAGGGGCTCATGTAAGTGGTAAAGCACTTGCCACGAAAAAGGATCCTCAAAGACAGTGCCCAAACTGAGTTCAAGCCCCAGGACAGGCCAAAAAAAAAAAAAAAAGACCCACAATTGTTTAAATGTGTAATCTTGATTATTGTCAATACTTAGATTAGTAAAGCACATGTTTTGGTGTATCTGTGAAAGTATTTAGATGAGTAGCTGAGGGGGAAAGACCCTCCCTGGATGTGGATGTATGTTCCAGTATGCTGGGAACCAAATGTATCCAAAGAGGAAGAAAAGCCCAGTAGCCGAGACCAACTACAAACTCACTGCTTCCTGGCTGTTAATAGGTGAACAGCTTTTCTTTACCCATTTCCTCCATAGTTATTCTGCCTTGCACAGGCCTAAAAGCAGTGATGCCAGTTGACCATGCACAGAAAGCAAGCTCCAACACTCTTAAACGCTGAAAATTCAGAAAAAAAGAAAATCTGGATAGATGACATAGTTAGACTTCTGAAAGCAGACCCAGAACCACAAGAATTGTGACTTAATATTCATTCACCTTGTCTCCTAGTGGTCCTCAACTCTGTCATTCACCCAACACTGTTACCTCATTTTACAGATGTCAATAGAGCAGTGCCCATTTCTTTGCAAGGTTAATTCTGCTCCTTGTGCCCTGCACAAACCCTGCATTCTGCCCCCAGAATCTGGGCCAGCCTTTAGTAGCAGCGCCCTCATAGGGGCTGAGATCCATCTCTGATTACTCACCATTATCACACCTCCCTCTCCTGCCCACTGGCATTTGATTTTAGTTAATCAGAGATAAGAGTCTCATGAACTTTCCTACCCTGGTTGTCTTTGAACTGTGATCCTCAGATCTCAGCCTCCTGGATGGCTAAGATTATAGGTGTGAGCCACCAGTGCCCAGTTGAAAAATATTTTTATACTAATAAATATTGTTAGCTCCGAAATGCTACCTGGAAAGGAAATGCTGACTTCTATTCTTGTGTTTCAAATAGAGCAAAAGATAAAGATGCACAGTGGCTTTGTCAGTTCTACCAATGCTTGCATAATTTGAAGACATATTGTAGCTAGCTAGCTAATTTCCCAAATAAATATCTGGAAGTGTACTTCTCTGAGCATTGTTAAAACGCTTTACAGAGATAGAGTACTCTTTTCTTCGTGGATATTGCCTCTCCCTAGAACGCCTCACAAACTCATATTAAGCAGTTATGAAAATCCCGAGTCAGATACGGGGAGCCATGTTTTACATTAGGGTAGTAAGTGCCACTGCTTCCCTTTCCTCTGCACAGGAATTTAGGCCCTTAGATTCTATTGTATTTCTGTTAGCGAGAGTTATGCATGTAAGTTCTCTCAATTCAAATGCGATTATACCCTCTCCTCATGAATCAGGCCGCTTTGTCATCCTGTTAACCCACAGTGGGTGAATGTATGTCTTTACAGAAGACCTTCTGCTCGGGTAGGTTTAGGAACTTCTTCATCTAATCATTTCCCAGTCTCGTAAGTGGAAATCTGTCTCAGGAAATTAAGGGGAAAGAGGAGCACAGACGGGTGGATGATAAGCGATTGGGAGGCACAGTAAATAATGGAGGGAAATGCAGCTGGGAGGAGAGGGAACATTTAGGGCTATTAGACGACAAATCCACTTCAATGCGGTTATTATACCTGTAAATATAGAAAAATGATAATGTTGACAACTCTTCATCACACGATCTGTGTCATTAATAAATGATGAAGGATAGAAAGAGCAAAAGAGGTAAAGCCAGTGCTGCCTAACAATATCACAGACGCTCTTGGGGAAGAAAAACAACTTGCTAAGCTAAAAACAAAGGCGCAGTTTGGTGCTGTTAATGAAGGAAGAGTGGGGAAAACAGAAAACTCAAAAATGTGGAAAATATCGTGAATGATAGAGGCTTTGATGTTTAAAATAGATATTTTTGCCTTGTATTATCAAAAACTATATAAAATTATCTGGGTTTGGTTTGGTTTTTTTTAATAGTGGCTTTTAGGGAGAAATAGTTCCTGCCTTCCATTAGGACAATACAAAATGATTTCCTACTTGGTGTTCCCAGGAGACACACCAAATATATTAAAATTCTTCAGAGGGAAATTTTATCTCTTCGCAGAAAATCATATACAACAGCTATTATCTGAGCAGCCTCTAGAGTTACATGTCCAATTTAAGAAAGAAAGAAAAAAGATATAAAATATACCTGGATTGCCAGGTACCTGTGACTCACACCTGTAATCCTACCTACTCAGGAGGCCGAAATCTGAGGATCACAGTTCAGAGCCAGCTGCAGCAGGAAAGTCTGTGAGACTCTTATCTCCAATTAGAACCCCCACCTGACCCCCCCCCAAAAAAAAGCCAGAAAAGTAGCTATGGCTCAAGTGATAGAGCACTAGTCTTGAGGAAATAAAAAGATCAGAGACTGTGGTTCAGGCTCCAATTCAAGGACCAAGACTAGCACACAAAAGCATACACAGCAGCTGGCTGTGTGTGTACACACTGTATGTATGTTGTATTTATACATATATGTGCGCATATATATATACATATATATATATATATATAACCCTCTGTGTCTAATTTGGAGGATATGTAAGTTCATGAAGCTCCTAAAGGCTGCAAATTTCAACAAATGTCCTGGGCTGCATGCTGGAGGGCTGAGAAGTTACAATGAGCAGTAGCAATCCAGGGCAGTCTTCAAATCTACCCCTTTTGCTTTCATAATAGAACCCCTGATTCCCACTGGGCAGATAAAGCTTCCATCTAGATAAAGACTACCATGTCCTTTGAAGCTAGCAAATAATGGATCATGTGACCAAATCCCCTAGTGAGACCACACTATCCAAAAAAGCCAAAACATCACTGCAGTTTTAGAGGGGGAAAGCTCCAGCTCTGAGAGTCCCAACAAACTAGGCTTGTCACTCCCCCAGTATACCAATTAAAGCAATGAATAATGGTAGACATGCATAGAAAGATCCATTGAAAACAGTCATGCTGGGAACAACGTGCTGGGGTACAGTGACCCTAAGTCTGTCTCTGGGGAACTGACATGAGCCTTAAGTTTAAACAGAGGAAGGAACAGGGGTAGCGGCCAAGAGGTATACATATTCAGCAGACTTGGTCTGATTCAGCTCTTTATCATCAGTGTTCTGGGGCTGGTAAGATGGAATGCCCAAAGTATCCTTGTGGCCTGAGAGGATGATCCAGATCCAGTCCCAA